TATATATATATATATATATATATATATATATATATGTGTGAGGACGCACTGTATATGCTGTATCTACTCCCATGCACCTTTTCCTATGCTATGCTTGGCACCTTCTTCTTCTTTTTAACTATTTAGCTGATGTAACAAGTAAATTTCTCCACGGTGAGATCAATAAAGTTTATCAAACAAACCATCTGTGGTGCTCCATTCTTACCAGAGGGATCAGTACCAGGGAGTAGAGTAATTTAGAGCAATCAAATGTGTTCCAAACTATTCACAATGCAAATCCAAGAGCTAAACAAGGCACAGTTTGCCAAAGTAAAATTTTATTACATGAATTGTCCAAATCAGAAATAAATAACCTTTCATATAATTGGCTTATGTCTTGTTCCCAATAGAATAATCAGGGTTTGGAAGCCTTTTAGTTTCTTTAGCTAAGTTTGATTACGAAAACAATTGATCTAGCAGCTAACAGAGACATTTAAAAGGACTCTTTTGGACATATTTTGGGAATGAAATGTAATGAGTATATCAAGAAACTGAAACATGAAAATTATATTAGCATTAAAGTAAATTTCGTCTAAAGTGAAACTGATTTCCTGTTATTTTGAATAAAAATCATGCAGCAGGACATACCAAGTCCATCCATCCATCCATTATCTGACAAGCTTGTCCCAAGTGGGGTCGCAAGGGGTGCTGGTGCCTATCTCCAGCTGTCTACGGGCGAGAGGCGGGGTACACCCTGGACAGGTCGCCAGTCCATCGAAGGGACATACCAAGACATTCTCAGTTATTATGAATAACATTTTTAACAGAAATATCCTATATTTTGTTGCTTCACAGCAGCATCAATTCATAGCCAGTAAAAACCCCTCTCTGTGAGGTGACATCAGCAGGAGAACACTTTTGAAGCTACCTCAACATTCTATAATGGAGATTGATGGAAAAACTGACGATTATTCAGGCACATCTAGTCTGGAACTGGTTTGTGTGGTTGAACCATCAGCCAGCTAAGTTCAGGAAATGATGCTGAGGAATATGGAAGTACCACATCATAAAGGTCAGTATCATCAAGATCAGACCTCCAGCCTACCAGCCTCCAGAATATGAGCCGGAGGTTGATAGCTAAAATGACAGCAGCAGCCCTGGTATAAAACATACAGTGGGGGAACACTTGCAACACTTCTTTTACGTCTTCTGCCAGAACAGGGGCACCTGCTGTTTTAATTTCTTTAAAAAAAAATTGGCAGAGCAGTACCTGGCCAGCTGGCATCATCAATTATGTGATTCCCCTCTGACCTGAAGGAGAATTAACTAAGTAATACTTGAAAGCAGATAGGTGACTTATTTTAAGAGGTGCTGCATTCTTCCCCCATGGACAGTTTTCCACAATGCTGCTTATTTATACATTTTCTTATTCATTTGTTTTAATCATTGTCACTATGTCAAGTTCCTTTCATGTGGCACTAAAGCCCCGGAACAAGCAAACTCCTGCTGATAAATTGGGACCTGATCTGCCAAAGATGAACCTGAGGACCAGACCTCATTTGTTGCAATTTCTTTGGGTTGGTTGGTTAAGCAGTAAGTAGTTTTGCCTTTTACTCCTGAGAAATCTGTGAGAACACAAATATAATTTATTTTACAACTGGATTTTATTATAATTTTTGAAATATACAGTAGAACATATGTTTTGGGCCCCCTCAGCCATATGCTCTGTGAAGAGATGCCTTTGTACCCGAGCACAGTCATGGGAGGGAACGCATGTCCTTCTTAGAGTGACTTAGAGATTTTGTGAGAGGGGGACACGCAGTAGTTTGGAGAGGAGAGTACAGTGAAGCAAAAATGCATGTTTTTCCACTAATGCTTGAAGTTAACCAGCCTGGACATGGATCTTCTATGTCGCCAATTAATATCATGGCTTATAGCATTACAGTAGCTAAAGTGAGGGTTTTGCCCACATCTACAGCCTTAGGAATGATTCAAAAACTCAAAATAACTAAGAACAGAACAACCAATAATAGATGATGACCCCAGTTCATCTTGCCACCACACTCAGTGAGAAGCATGGTGAGATAATTAAATAGGTCAGCTTATTATAAAAACTGCCCCAAGTGTGTGTGTGTGTGTGTGTGTGTGTGTGTGTGTGTGTGTGTGTTTTTATTGTTTCTTTGTTTTTTGGGGGTTAAGAATAGTAAGATGGGGCTTTGCAGCCCTGCCTTTTGCATTTGTTTGCCAAAAAAAACAGTTTCAAGAGAAACAAAATCTCCTGCAGGATATAAAGTTACAGTAAACCCTACCCCATGTGCTTGAACTACTGGTTTAAAAGCTTGTCAGGTCTGTTGCAAAAACAAAAAACAAAACTAAACAAAAATAATTCAGCAGTCAGTCTTTTGTATTTTGCAAATATGTTTCTTTAGATACATAACTGAAACCAACAAAACTGCAGCATCTACAGAACTTTGTGGACCACAAAGTTGACGTAGAATTAAGTAACTTTAGCATGGGCACTTTACCATTTAATCACCATTTCAGCAGTAAATACTTGAATTCTAAACTACAAAAATACAGATAAGAGATAAGATAGCATGTGGTCTTGTCACTTCATTGGAATGAAGAAACATTACATTCCACTGTAAAATTGTGACTGCTCAAAGAGATTTTTTTCATTTGTCAGGGTTTGTAGTTTGTCTGGATTTGTCATGCCACAAACTCTACCACCAGGTGGTAAAAAAAAATTCAGCGTCATGCTCTTAACATGCAGGCAATATAAAATGACAAACAGCAGTGTGGTATCTCATGAGTAAAAGGAGGTGCAGGACAGTTTTGAAGAAACACATGAACTTAAGTACTGCTTTGGGTAAGTGGACAGCTGTCAACATGAAAGTGATGATACTTTGATTGCTTAATTCTTATGTATCATTGCCTGTTGTCTCTGTTTGTGCATGGTGAAATATTTTTTTATATTTTCCACATCATTTTTGTCATTTAGCTTTTTTAAACATCTATTTTCAACCTTAAGTGTAAACTTTTTCTGTGGTATCAAACTCTAAAGATGCTTATTGTATTAACATTTATTTATCCAGCTACATTTTTATTTAGACTGATAAGACAAAAAAAATAAGGAAAAAGTTTAATTACTCTTGAGTATGTGCTCAAAATTAAACCCAATTTTAAAAGTTGGAGGGTGCTAGAGAGTGTTAAAAAAATTTATCACTTGCAACTAAGCTTGGTTAAGATTAACCAAATAAATTGCACTTCAGGTTTTTGAATGGTGGGAAAAGAAAAAGCACTATTTCTGATAGAGAACTTACATTCCGCAGACAAACACCACAAATTGATATTAAAATCTTAACCTTTTAACCTGAGACAACTGTGCAAAAAAACAATTAGCATAAAGCCCAAACTAAATAGGACACCAGCTTCTTAAACATAGCTGTCATTATAATACAGATTGCATACACACATCCCCTCCCATTTAGTAGGTACATGATCCCTGACAATACACAACAGAAGTTACCTGCATATCAAATAATGGAGTTCAAAATACTTCTGTTAGTCTTTTACTTGGTGGCTGTGCAAAAAAAAAAAAAAAAAATTACAGACAGGGTATCAGACCACTCAAGTATTCAGGCTCAATTATACTCTGCATACCATAGAACCAAACACAGACAGCAACTTTTAGTTCTTATGCTTCACTTCTCTGAAATAAACTCCCAAAAGAGAAAGTACAGAAACTCTATGTTGCTTTACATCAAAATAAAATCCAATTTATTTAGATTTGCCTTTGAATTTTCAAATGAAGCTGTTAACAAAAACAGTCCAACTTTTTTTTTAACCCGCCTGCTGTTTCAGTAACGTGTTTTTATCTGTTTTCTTTTTTTTTGTAATACTCTGCTTATATAGAGCACTTTGGATTGTTTTTTTTGTTTGTTTTGTTTTTTTTACAGGTGATACAAAGTACAACAAAACTGGTCTTGCCTAGTCATTGCACTCAAATTAATTCTAGAATAAATAACTTTTTGTCTCTCTCAATTTCAATCAAAATAGTGTCACATAGCAAAAAATGCTGAAATTATATTAAATTAAGTGTCCATGTAAGACAAATATATCCTGTTCAATCCGATTTGATTTGTTAAAATGCAGGATTTTCTAGAACATGGAGAAAAAAAGAAACTCAATGAACATTTTCCTTTCACATTTATATTCTGATCTTCAGACAAAGTAATTGATGGAAGACAGGTTTCTCCCTTTCATGTCACTTAATTTTCCCACATAATGAGAAGCACTTTACCTGTACATTTCAATTCAACGTTATTGAGGACATGTATATATTTGCATCCCAAAATAATGCAACCCCATAGCTGTAAGGAAAACTAAAGGAAGAGACAATAAAGAAGAGAAACTTGTTTAAAATGAAATTGGAGACAGCTGGAGAACATACCACTGCAATGAGATATTGATCAAACCCTTCTGGTTCAACATGACTTCCAGACAATATGCTTTTGATTGATTAAAAGTTTCACAAGTACTTTTTTAAGATAATTTCATGCAAAACCAGTTATGATAGTTGTCTTCCCACAATCCTTAATCCTATCTAAAGTGAAACTAACAAAGAAAAATAACTGGAGCGTGGGGATGTTTCTTTATTATATCACAATCAACAACTTTACACTTTGTGCTTCGGTTTTTGTCTGATAATACAATGAAAATAACTCTAAACATTATTTTCCACATTGAATTAAAATATCTTTATGGGAGTCTAAAAGGGAAAAGAAACTTTCAGTTTGAATATAATGTTATAGCTACATGTCATTGAAATTTCAATGAGACATTTTTTGTTTATATTGCAGAAAAAGGATAAAAAAGCATGGGGATTGAAAAGATATTTCTACTGCTACTACTGCTAACAGGTAACACTTAGAAATTTTGTCACTGATAACATTTGAGCCCTTTACTGCTATGATCTAAACTTATTCATATGTGTTAAAGACATATTAGAAACATCCACAATGCCTCCAACCACTACAACAGCTTCTCCAACCACTACAACACCTGCTCCAACAACAACTATATCTGCTCCTACCATAACTACATCTGCTCTAACCACAACTACAGCAGCTCCAACCACAACTACATCTGCTGCTCTCACCACAACTACATCTGTTCTGACCACAACCACAGCTGCTCCGACCACAACAACAGCTGCTTCGACCACTACAACAGCTGCTCCAACTACCAGTACAACTGCTCCAACCACTACAACAGATGATCCAACCACAACTACATCTGCTCCAACCACAAATACAGCTGCTCCAACCACAACTACAGCTGCTCCGACCACAACTACAGCTGCTCAAACCACTACAACAGATGCTCCAACAACTACAACAGATGCTGCAACTACAACTACACCTGCTCCAACCACAACTACTGCTGCTCCAACCACAACAACTACAGCTGCTCAAACCCCAACTACAGCAGCTCCAACCACAACTACAGCTGCTCCAACCACAACTACAGCTGCTCCGACCACAACTACAGCTGCTCAAACCACTACAACAGATGCTCCAACAACTACAACAGATGCTGCAACTACAACTACACCTGCTCCAACCACAACTACTGCTGCTCCAACCACAACAACTACAGCTGCTCAAACCCCAACTACAGCAGCTCCAACCACAACTACAGCTGCTCCAACCACCACCACAACAGATGCTCCAACCACCACAATAGATGCTCCAACCACTACAACTGCTGCTCCAACCACAACTACAGCTGCTCCAACCACTACAACTGCTGCTCCAACCACAACTACAGCATCTCTAACCACAACTACAGCAGCTCCTACCACAACTAAATCTGCTCCTACCACAACTACATCTGCTCCAATCACAACTACATCTGCTGCTCTGACCACAACTACATCTGCTGCTCCAACCACAACTACAGCTGCTCCAACCACAACTACAGCTGCTCCGACCACAACTACAGCTGCTCAAACCACTACAACAGATGCTCCAACAACTACAACAGATGCTGCAACTACAACTACACCTGCTCCAACCACAACTACTGCTGCTCCAACCACAACAACTACAGCTGCTCAAACCCCAACTACAGCAGCTCCAACCACAACTACAGCTGCTCCAACCACCACCACAACAGATGCTCCAACCACCACAATAGATGCTCCAACCACTACAACTGCTGCTCCAACCACAACTACAGCTGCTCCAACCACTACAACTGCTGCTCCAACCACAACTACAGCATCTCTAACCACAACTACAGCAGCTCCTACCACAACTAAATCTGCTCCTACCACAACTACATCTGCTCCAATCACAACTACATCTGCTGCTCTGACCACAACTACATCTGCTGCTCCGACCACAACTACAGCTGCTCCAACCACAACAACAGCTGCTCCGAGCACTACAACAACTGCTCCAACCGCTACAACAGATGGTCCAACCACTACAACAGCTGCTCAAACCACAACTACATCTGCTTCAACCACAACTACAGCTGCTCCGACCGCAACAACAGCTGCTCCGACCACTACAACAGCTGCTCCGACCACAACTACAGCAGCTCCAACCACTACAACTGCTGCTCCAACCACAACTAAAGCATCTCTAACCACAACTACAGCAGCTCCTACCACAACTACATCTGCTCCTACCACAACTACATCTGCTCCAATCACAACTACATCTGCTGCTCTGACCACAACTACATCTGCTGCTCCGACCACAACTATAGCTGCTCCAACCACAACAACAGCTGCTCCGAGCACTACAACAACTGCTCCAACCGCTACAACAGATGGTCCAACCACTACAACAGCTGCTCAAACCACAACTACATCTGCTTCAACCACAACTACAGCTGCTCCGACCACAACAACAGCTGCTCCGACCACTACAACAGCTGCTCCGACCACAACTACAGCTGCTCCAACCACAACTACTGCTGCTCCAACCACAACTACAGCTGCTCAAACCCCAACTACAGCAGCTCCAACCACAACTACAGCTGCTCCAACCACCACCACAATAGATGCTCCAACCACCACAACAGATGCTCAAACCACTACAACTGCTGCTCCAACCACAACTACAGCTGCTCCAACCACTACAACTGCTGCTCCAACCACAACTACAGCATCTCTAACCACAACTACAGCAGCTCCTACCACAACTACATCTGCTCCTACCACAACTACATCTGCTCCAATCACAACTACATCTGCTGCTCTGACCACAACTACATCTGCTGCTCCGACCACAACTACAGCTGCTCCAACCACAACAACAGCTGCTCCGACTACCAGTACAACTGCTCCAACCGCTACAACAGATGGTCCAACCACTACAACAGCTGCTCAAACCACAACTACATCTGCTTCAACCACAACTACAGCTGCTCCGACCACAACAACAGCTGCTCCGACCACTACAACAGCTGCTCCGACCACAACTACAGCAGCTCCAACCACTACAACTGCTGCTCCAACCACAACTACAGCATCTCTAACCACAACTACAGCAGCTCCTACCACAACTACATCTGCTCCTACCACAACTACATCTGCTCCAATCACAACTACATCTGCTGCTCTGACCACAACTACATCTGCTGCTCCGACCACAACTACAGCTGCTCCAACCACAACAAAAGCTGCTCCGAGCACTACAACAACTGCTCCAACCGCTACAACAGATGGTCCAACCACTACAACAGCTGCTCAAACCACAACTACATCTGCTTCAACCACAACTACAGCTGCTCCGACCACAACAACAGCTGCTCCGACCACTACAACAGCTGCTCCGACCACAACTACAGCTGCTCCAACCACAACTACTGCTGCTCCAACCACAACTACAGCTGCTCAAACCCCAACTACAGCAGCTCCAACCACAACTACAGCTGCTCCAACCACCACCACAACAGATGCTCCAACCACCACAACAGATGCTCAAACCACTACAACTGCTGCTCCAACCACAACTACAGCTGCTCCAACCACTACAACTGCTGCTCCAACCACAACTACAGCATCTCTAACCACAACTACAGCAGCTCCTACCACAACTACATCTGCTCCTACCACAACTACATCTGCTCCAATCACAACTACATCTGCTGCTCTGACCACAACTACATCTGCTGCTCCGACCACAACTACAGCTGCTCCAACCACAACAACAGCTGCTCCGACTACCAGTACAACTGCTCCAACCGCTACAACAGATGGTCCAACCACTACAACAGCTGCTCAAACCACAACTACATCTGCTTCAACCCCAACTACAGCTGCTCCGACCACAACAACAGCTGCTCCGACCACTACAACAGCTGCTCCAACTACCACTACAACTGCTCCAACCACCACAACAGATGACTCAACCACAACTACAGCTGCTCAAACCCCAACTACAGCAGCTCCAACCACAACTACAGCTGCTCCAACCACAACTACAGCTGCTCCGACCACAACTACAGCTGCTCAAACCACTACAACAGATGCTCCAACAACTACAACAGATGCTGCAACTACAACTACACCTGCTCCAACCACAACTACTGCTGCTCCAACCACAACAACTACAGCTGCTCAAACCCCAACTACAGCAGCCCCAACCACAACTACAGCTGCTCCAACCACCACCACAACAGATGCTCCAACCACCACAACAGATGCTCCAACCACTACAACTGCTGCTCCAACCACAACTACAGCTGCTCCAACCACTACAACTGCTGCTCCAACCACAACTACAGCTGCTCCCACCACCACAACAGATGCTCCATCCACCACAACAGATGCTCCAACCACTACAACTGCAGCTCCAACCACAACTACATCTGCTCCAACCACAACTACATCTGCTCCAACCACTACTACATCTGCTCCAACAACTACTCCAACCACAACTACTCTAACCACAACTACAGCTGCTTCAACCACTACAAGTGTTGCTCCAACTACTACATCTGCGCCTACCACAACTACATCTGGTCCAACAACAACTACTCCAATTACAGCTATTCCAACCACAACTACATCTGTTCCGACCACAACTACAGCTGCTCCGACCACAACAACAGCTGCTCCGACCACTACAACAGCTGCTCCAACTACCAGTACAACTGCTCCAACCACTACAACAGATGATCCAACCACAACTACAGCTGCTCCAACCACAACTACATCTGCTCCAACCACAAATACAGCTGCTCCAACCACAACTACAGCTGCTCCGACCACAACTACAGCTGCTCAAACCACTACAACAGATGCTCCAACAACTACAACAGATGCTGCAACTACAACTACACCTGCTCCAACCCCAACTACAGCAGCTCCAACCACAACTACAGCTGCTCCAACCACTACAACTGCTGCTCCAACTACAGCATCTCCAACCACTACAACTGCTGCTCCAACCACAACTACAGCATCTCCAACCACAACTACAGCAGCTCCTACAACTACATCTGCTCCTACCACAACTACATCTGCTCCAATCACAACTACATCTGCTGCTCTGACCACAACTACATCTGCTGCTCCGACCACCACCACAACAGATGCTCCAACCACCACAACAGATGCTCCAACCACTACAACTGCTGCTCCAACCACAACTACAGCTGCTCCAACAACGACAACTGCTGCTCCAACCACAACTACAGCTGCTCCCACCACCACAACAGATGCTCCATCCACCACAACAGATGCTCCAACCACTACAACTGCAGCTCCAACCACAACTACATCTGCTCCAACCACAACTACATCTGCTCCAACCACTACTACATCTGCTCCAACAACTACTCCAACCACAACTACTCTAACCACAACTACAGCTGCTTCAACCACTACAAGTGTTGCTCCAACTACTACATCTGCGCCTACCACAACTACATCTGGTCCAACAACAACTACTCCAATTACAGCTATTCCAACCACAACTACATCTGTTCCGACCACAACTACAGCTGCTCCGACCACAACAACAGCTGCTCCGACCACTACAACAGCTGCTCCAACTACCAGTACAACTGCTCCAACCACTACAACAGATGATCCAACCACAACTACAGCTGCTCCAACCACAACTACATCTGCTCCAACCACAAATACAGCTGCTCCAACCACAACTACAGCTGCTCCGACCACAACTACAGCTGCTCAAACCACTACAACAGATGCTCCAACAACTACAACAGATGCTGCAACTACAACTACACCTGCTCCAACCCCAACTACAGCAGCTCCAACCACAACTACAGCTGCTCCAACCACTACAACTGCTGCTCCAACCACAACTACAGCATCTCCAACCACTACAACTGCTGCTCCAACCACAACTACAGCATCTCCAACCACAACTACAGCAGCTCCTACAACTACATCTGCTCCTACCACAACTACATCTGCTCCAATCACAACTACATCTGCTGCTCTGACCACAACTACATCTGCTGCTCCGACCACAACTACAGCTGCTCCAACCACAACAACAGCTGCTCCGACCACTACAACAGCTGCTCCAACTACCAGTACAACTGCTCCAACCACCACAACAGATGGTCCAACCACTACAACAGCTGCTCCAACCACAACTACATCTGCTCCAACCACAAATACAGCTGCTTCAACCACAACTACAGCTGCTCCGACCACAACTACAGCTGCTCCCACCACAACAACCGATGCTCCATCCACCACAACAGATGCTCCAACCACTACAACTGCAGCTCCAACCACAACTACAGCAGCTCCAACCACAACTACATCTGCTCCAACCACTACTACATCTGCTCCAACAACTACTCCAACCACAACTACTCTAACCACAACTACAGCTGCTTCAACCACTACAAGTGTTGCTCCAACTACTACATCTGCGCCTACCACAACTACATCTGCTCCAACAACAACTACTCCAATTACAGCTATTCCAACCACAACTACATCTGCTCCAACCACAACTACAGCTTTTCCAACCACCACAACAGCTGCTCCAACCACCACAACAGCTGCTCTAACCACTAAAACAGATGGTCCAACCTCTACAACAGATGGTCCAACCACTACAACTGCAGCTCCAACCACTACAACTGCAGCTCCAACCACAACTACAACAGCTCCAACCACAACTACAGCAGCTCCAACCACAACTACATCTGCTCCAACAACAACTACAGCTGCGCCAACCACTACAAGTGTTGCTCCAACAACAACTACATCTGCGCCTGCCTCGACTACATCTGCTCCAACAACAACTACAGCTATTCCAACCACCACAACAGCTGCTCCAACCACCACAACAGCTGCTCTAACCACTACAACAGATGGTCCGACCTCTACAACAGATGGTACAACCACTACAATTGCAGCTCCAACCACAACTACAACAACACCAACAACAACTACATCTGCGCCTACCACGACTACATCTGCTACAACAACTACTCCAACCACAACTACATCTACTCCAACCACCACTACAGCTGCTCCAATCACTACAACAGCTGCTCTAACCACCACAACAGCTGCTCAAACCACTACAACAGATGGTCCAAGCACTACAACTGTAGCTCCAACCACTACAACTGCAGCTCCAACCACAACTACAGCAGCTCCAACCACAACTACATCTGCCCCAACAACAACTACTCCAACCACACCTACTCCAACCATAACTACAGCAGCTCCAACTACATCTGCTCCAACCACTACTACATCTGCTCCAACAACTACTCCAACCACAACTACTCTAACCACAACTACAGCTGCTCCAACCACTACAAGTGTTGCTCCAACAACTACATCTGCACCTACCACAACTACATCTGCTCCAACAACAACTACTCCAACCACAACTACATCTGCTCCAACCACTACTACATCTGCTCCAACCACTACTACATCTGCTCCAACAACTACTCCAACCACAACTACTCTAACCACAACTACAGCTGCTCCAACCACTACAAGTGTTGCTCCAACTACTACATCTGCGCCTACCAAAACTACATCTGATCCAACAACAACTACTCCAATTACAGCTATTCCAACCACAACTAAATCTGCTCCAACCACAACTACAGCTGTTCCAACCACCACAACAGCTGCTCCAACCACCACAACAGCTGCTCTAACCACTACAACAGATGGTCCAACCTCTACAACAGATGTTCCAACCACTACAACCACAGCTCCAACCACAACTACAGCTGCTCCAACCACTACAACTGCTGTTCCAACCACTATAACTGCGGCTCCAACCACTACAACTGCTACTCCAACCACAACTACAGCTGATCCAACCACAACTACAGCTGCTCCAACCACTACAAGTGTTGCTCCAACAACTACATCTGCACCTACCACAACTACATCTGCTCCAACAACAACTACTCCAACCACTACAACTGCTGTTCCAACCACTATAACTGCGGCTCCAACCACTACAACTGCAGCTCCAACAACAACTACAGCTGCTCCAACCACTACAAGTGCAGCTCCAACCACACCTACAGCTGCTCCAACCACTACAACTGCTACTCCAACCACAACTACAGCTGATCCAACCACAACTACAGCTGCTCCTACTACAACTACAGCTGCTCCAACCACTACAACTGCAGCTCCAACTACAACTACAGCTGCTCCAACCACAACTGCTCTAACCACTACAACTGCAACTCCAACCACAACTACTGCTGCTCCAACCACAACTACAGCTGCCCCATTCACAACTACAGCCATCCCAACCACTACAACTGCAGCTCCAACAACAACTACAGCTGCTCCAACCACTACAAGTGCAGCTCCAACCACACCTACAGCTGCTCCAACCACTACAACTGCTGTTCCAACCACCGGTACAACAGCTCCAACCACAACAACAGATGGTCCGACAACTACTACAGATGGGCCAACATCAACTACAACAACACCAACAACAACTACATCTGCGCCTACCACGACTACATCTGCTACAACAACTACTCCAACCACAACTACATCTACTCCAACCACCACTACAGCTGCTCCAATCACTACAACAGCTGCTCTAACCACCACAACAGCTGCTCAAACCACTACAACAGATGGTCCAAGCACTACAACTGTAGCTCCAACCACTACAACTGCAGCTCCAACCACAACTACAGCAGCTCCAACCACAACTACATCTGCCCCAACAACAACTACTCCAACCACACCTACTCCAACCATAACTACAGCAGCTCCAACTACATCTGCTCCAACCACTACTACATCTGCTCCAACAACTACTCCAACCACAACTACTCTAACCACAACTACAGCTGCTCCAACCACTACAAGTGTTGCTCCAACAACTACATCTGCACCTACCACAACTACATCTGCTCCAACAACAACTACTCCAATTACAACTACTCCAACCACAACTACATCTGCTCCAACCACTACTACATCTGCTCCAACCACTACTACATCTGCTCCAACAACTACTCCAACCACAACTACTCTAACCACAACTACAGCTGCTCCAACCACTACAAGTGTTGCTCCAACTACTACATCTGCGCCTACCAAAACTACATCTGCTCCAACAACAACTACTCCAATTACAGCTATTCCAACCACAACTAAATCTGCTCCAACCACAACTACAGCTGTTCCAACCACCACAACAGCTGCTCCAACCACCACAACAGCTGCTCTAACCACTACAACAGATGGTCCAACCTCTACAACAGATGTTCCAACCACTACAACTGCAGCTCCAACTACTACAACTGCAGCACCAACCACTACAACTGCAGCTCCAACCACAACTACAACAGCTCCAACCACAACTACAGCAGCTCCAACCACAACTACATCTGCTCCAACAACAACTACAGCTGCATTCTGACATCCTATATTATTTTTTCTATAGTAATGGGTCAATCATCAACAACATGGATCTTACATTTGCATCTAAATCTGCTCCTAATGGCTCCCAAATTGCAAATGTTTTGGTCAATGCAGCTTCAAACATCTCTGCCTTCACCATTGATACCTCTAACATTTTAGTGGACGGAGAAGGTAAGATAAAATGGTTTTAGATCTAAAATATCGCTTATATGAATAGAAATTATCACATATATACCAGCTCCACGAACTACATCTGCTGCTCCTATCACAACTACAGTTGCTCCATCCACTACAACAGTTGCTACAACCACTACAACTACTACAACAGCTACTGCAACCACTACAACTACTACAACAGTTGCTCCAACCACTACAACTACTACAACAGCTACTGCAACCACTACAACTACTACAACAGTTGCTCCAACCACTACAACTACTACAACAGTTGCTCCAACCACTACAACTACTACAACAGTTGCTCCAACCACTACAACTACTACAACAGTTGCTCCAACCACTACAACTACTACAACAGCTACTCCAACCACTACAACTACAACAACAGCTACTCCAACCACTACAACTACAACAACAGTTGCTCCAACCACTACAACTACTACAACAGCTGCTCCAAGCACAACAAAAGCACCAATTACAACAGCTGATCAGACAACTCCAACTACTCTTATGACTACTACAACAACTACAACTGAAGCACCTGCTCCAGTTTTTGTAGTTGCAGCAACGGTGGTTGAACCATTTGTTCCAGCACTTGAAGTGAAAGACAGCCCAGAGTTTAAGGCGCTGGAAGTAAAAGTCGTGACAGTGGTTAGTAATACATCTTGCCTTTTAATTTGAAAACATTTCACACAAATATTATTTGGGCACACATTTTACCATATTTTTTCTCTTTCTAGTATAATATAATCTACAGAGCAAGATATGGAATCCTCTTTATTCGAAGTTTTGTCATTGCATTTAGGTATGGTAATTTCTCATTTAAATTTTTTAAGTAATTTATAATGTATACAAATAAAAGATTGTTTGTTTAACTAGAAGTTAAGTATCTTAAAGATATAGTAGCCTTCAAGTAATAAAATGTTTTCACAATATGCACTTATAGTTTGTGACTTGTTTGCTTTCAGACCAGCCCAAGTCAGGTTTCGAATGAATGGTACTCAAGCAGAGATGGGGGTAGAGTTTAATAAAACAACACCAGCTGAGGCAGTTCCAAAGCCTGAGGATGTTCAACAAGTACTAGTAGAGGGTGTACAGAACCCCAACTTCACCATGTCCTTGAATATCAGCTTTGATCCAGAGTCAATTACAGCAATTCGTAAGTAATAAGTCTCTGAAACAGTCAAGCAGAAAATATCCCTTTTTAAATAACGCAGCAAATCATACATCATTGGGATTTTGACATTTATAATCATCTTCAATTCAGCATATCACTAAACATAGTTTTCCAATAAGTAGGGATGCGGCTGAAACAGATTATGTTTACTTTGTAATATTTTGTTTTAAGTCACCAAATACTTTACAAAGAATATTCTAACAGAAATTTGATACTGCTAATAATTAGTTTTGCTAAAACTTATCAGACTACACCACTGGGTGTGGATTTTGAAATAAAAATTCTTTAAGTTTTTTTTTGTTGTTATTTACTTCAATTTAGTTTATATAGCACCAATTCAAAACACATCATCTCAAGGTACTTTAGAGAGAAAATTCAACCATGTAGATTCATATTGGAAATACATTTTATTGAATCAAACTATGTAATTACGGTTAAAATAAAAAAGGCAGGATATTTTTCAATGTTATTTATTAATCCAGATGTCTCTGAAACATTAACTTAGAGTCAATCAAAACTGTAGCGCTGTCAAAAGCGGGACAGATGGACCCAGTTCTCAAGGTGAGACAGTCAATAGGAAAGTGCAAAATGTTTATTTAAATTAAAACAAACTGAAAGTAAAGTGGAGCTGCTAGGATCAGCAGCTGAGGGATATGCTGCGGGGGGTGGGGGTGGGGTGGGGGGGAGGCGGGGTTCAGCCTAATTACAGACACACTGGTGGGAGAAACAAAGGTAAGGGACCAGGATCACCTGATGAAAGATCATGATCTCAGTGAGTCACTTGCCTGGTTTAACAGTTCAGTCCATCACCCATGAAGGGGGTGCAATCTAGTCGATGGGCTTACTGCTGACATGCCACACATCACCCAGAGTGTCCCCGGTGCTGCAGCTCCGGAGGATTTGCAGAAAGCCAATCCAGGCCAGGGATACAGGGCAGGCAGGAACAGACAGATGAGATGCGATCCAGGCTTCCAGGCATCCTAGAGCTACCACAGCAGATCATGACAAGCGTTTAGTTTAGTGAAAAGGGGTAAACCTAACACCAAAAGGAAAGAAAAGTATTTATCAAAAGACCTGTCTATGTGTGTTCCACATTTTAACTCAATATTATTTTGGCAATCATAAGAGATGGAGAAAGGGATGAGGATCCCTATATCTAGACCTCCTGATAATGGAGACCACCCTGGAGGAAATATATACCCCTTTTTTTCTAGGAGCAGTGTGGAATCCCCCAGGATGAGCTTTAAATTGGATAAAATCGTACATATAATTTAAATGCAAAGAAAATATTAATTTGAACATAATGTTAATGTGTGTTTGATTAGTCATTCATGATCAAATATCATACTCTTTAAGGATCAAATTCATGAGATTGATAGTATTAAAACTGTATCCTATGTGCTTTTGCTTTCTGTTCAAATTTCTGTATTAAGAAATAACATAATTAAAGGAAACATACAGAGTTAGCAAAGGCAGCTGATTAGGGAAACATAAAACTGATATGTATAAGACAAGTCAGAAGATGAAAAGTCAGAAAAAACATCCAGTCAATCCTGTCTAAAGATCTTGGATTAATTTATTGTTTTAGGAATTTCTTCATCACATTTAGATTTTTATTTCTTCCATGAAAAAAGATTGTCAATCTCAACCCAGTAAATTAAATAATACATTTATTTTCCAGTATAAGTTAATAAAAAGGCAATCTAATGACCAAAATACGCACAATGATTTGAGGTTCATACTCTCATACACTTGTTTACTTTTTAATGTGATAAAAATAAGCTGTTTACCTGCATTAGAAAAAAAAAAGATTGGTTTATGCATTAAATGCAAAGGTTAAATAAGATATTTACTTTAAATAAATGAATTGTTTCTTTGTGAATTGCTGGCTTTTGCATTGCTTTATAATTAAAAAAAATTTTTTTTTTTTCTTTTTTTTGCAGGTCAACCTGTAACAACTGTAGCCCCAACTACGGCCAACAGTACAGTAACCCCAGCTCCAAATACAACAATTTCTCAGAACTCCACGGAAAACATAACAACCACAACAGCTGGCAATACATCTACCACAATCAGCACATTAGGAAATACAACAACAAAGAACCCAGAAACATCAGCTGCTAGCAATTCAACTTCCATCAGCACAACAACAACAACCACAACTGTGGAGCAGACAGTAAATAGGAGGCTGACTTTTAGGTCACCTGGGGAAACCTTCACAACTGATTTGTTGGACCAATCCTCGTCAGCATTTATAAATAGAGCTGCACTTTTAAAGTCAATTGTAAGTCCTCCTCTTTGAAAATTTTTTATAGCCAAATGCTCAATTGATTTCACAGGCAAGCAGAGATGGCAAAAGTACTCACTTTCCGTACTTGAGTAAAAGTACAGATACTTGTGTTAAAAAATACTCTGCTAAAAGTGGAAGTACTGATTAAACTTCTTTACTCAAGTAAAAGTAACAAAGTACAGGCTTGTAAATTTACTTAAAGTATAAAAGTAAAAGTAGAAACCACTTTTTTCATGCCGTTGCCTACATTTTAAATGGATGTCTGCCGATAGGACTAGATCTCCGTTGTGTTCATTTTCAATCATCTCGTCGTCCATACTACTATGCTAACGCCACCGCCACCAAGCTGCAATGATTTGCCGCGAATGAATACCGTCAAATATGTTGATTCATCTTGTAGTGGTGCGTCAAATGCAACGTAGATTCCCATCCAATTAGATTGAATTTGGTATTGATGACATGAAAAATAATAATGGTAAGTCCATTGAAATGATTAAAAACTAAAGTAACGAGCCAATTTTTAAAAATGTAAGGAGTAGAAAGTACAGATATTTGTGTAAAAATGTAAGGAGTAGAAGTAAAAAGTTGCCATAAAAATAAGTAGTAAAGTAAAGTAAAAATATCAGAAAAATCTACTTGAGTACAGTAAAGAAGTATTTGTACTTCGTTACTTCCCATCTCTGCAGGCAAGGTACAGTAAATATTCAGTTTTGCAATGCAGATAACCTTTTCCCCACATAAAAAATAATACTGATTTTTTTAAGGAAAAAAATTAAGTTATATAATAAATGAGAAAGCAACTTTTAAAATAGGCTGACAATTTATTCTGGACACCTAGTGGCCTAGGGTTAGTCAGTCATTCTAGAATTGGTACTTACAGCCTCTATGTTGTTTTGTATGAGGCTTTGATAAAATAAGAAGTAATATGGCAAATATCCAGTGAGAAGGTGAAAATGCCGTGCCCAAGATGACTTAAAGTACAAAAAAACCCTGAATAATTTTGGAAAAGTTTGATTTCTTAAGACATTCTGCTACTTTGATTAATGAAGCTTAAGTGAAAGTTCAATCTGGAAGACTCTTATCAGCTTCACCTGAACCACCTACAATGTCCCTTATTTAGCTCCACCAATCAAAACGGGGCCCACACCTTCTCCAAAGCCAATCATCTTTCAAGATCCCCTTCATTTAGCTTCTGGCCCATTTTCTCTCTCCCGCACACAAACAAACTTTCACCCACCTCCACCCCATCACCTCCCTCATTCTCAGACTATTCTCAGCCCCACTCACCCTCTGGCTTATTCCACCATCAGTGTCCGGTTCCTGGGGGAAGACAACCGTAATCCTTTTCTAGGTTTCTCATCCAAGCAAATGCTGAAGTGTTCTGCCGGGGCCCGAGCGCCATTTCATTCATTCTATTATCCACTTCTGTCTCTTTGAACCCAAGTCGACTTCGGTTGATGGCAGCTCAAACTAAGCCTGATTCTGCTGGAGGTTTGATTCTGTTAAAACTATCGCTACATGCATGCTCAGTGCGAGGGATTGCAGAGAGTCAATGAGTCCTCGCAATCACCTGGTTTTCCTTGATAGAAATATTTTAAAGACTATGATTGTGTTATCTGTATAAAGAAATCGAATATTTTCTAATTGCAGCTTTTCTCTGTCCAAGTCTCTCCAGGATAAATTTACAAATAAATATTGAGATCCTAAACACTTAGGTTTCTGGTTCTGTATCTGTATCATATCAATAACTGCCACAATGTTCTGACTTATAGTGCTTTAACATATGATGATTAAAAGTTGACTTATGTTTTCTTTGTTTTTCTTCAGCTTGAACCCTTCTACCAACAATCGTTTTCCTCATTCCGCAGTTTAACAGTGATTTCATTCAGGTAATAATTAATAATAATTGTAATTTAAAGACTGACTTTGGTCAGACATTCTTACATCCTATATTATTTTTTCTATAGCAATGGGTCAATCATCAACAACATGGATCTTGCATTTGCATCTGCATCTGCTCCTAATGGCTCCCAAATTGCAAATGTTTTGATCAATGCAGCTTCAAATATCTCTGCCTTCACCATTGATACCTCTAACATTTTAGTGGATGGAGAAGGTAAGATAAAAATGTTTAGATTTAAAACATTACTTCTTTGAATAGAAATGATCAAATATATATTGTTAAGAAATTTTCCCATAGAAAGGTTTGCTAATGCCCCGCTTTTCCTCTCTCATTCCAATAAGTGTCAAGTGGAGTAAGCCAGAAGATCAGTCTCATCACGGCTCTCTGCATGGTCCTGCTGTCATGGGTGTTGTCCAGCCAGCACTAATCTCTCTATTGACTAGTGGTGGATAATCTTCCCCCAAAAAGTTATCCTAATTGAAAACTAAAAAGGATCTCATGAAAGGGTGTTTTTAAAAGAGAAATAGTTGTCCAAAAATTGTTTCTGAGTTTATTTAAGCATCTCTAAATTTAAGCATCCAGTCAAGAACTTAAATATTTGTAAAAGCACATTCACTGATTATCTATGCTGTTTTGTTAGGAGGTTACTGCAATTTTATTTATTTCTCTGAATGTGAAACCCTGGATCCGATCCATGAAGAACATCTTGTACACTTACTTATTAACATGAGGGTTATGTCTATACAATAGGATGTGATGTAGGATTTAAAGTTTTTTTTCAATGCACTTTATGCAAATGCAGACTCTAATTATCATCTTCATTCAGCAATATAAGTATTTAAAATAGTAATAAAGGAATGATTTTAATGACAAATTAGATTATGACACTGTTCATGCAAATCCTCAAGAGAAATATATGAATTGATTATTTTGTATAAATGTATTATAAGATGTCTAAACAATATCAAACCTTATTATTTTGTTGTTTTTTTGATTAAAATATATCTATGACATTGGAGACTTCTGTATACAGTATTCTGTTAAGTGTTACTCAATTGTATTTTTCTCATCATAAATTAAAGTTAAGATGACAAAGACATAAAAACTAATCATTAAGATTACATTAATACGAGATCACTGAAATAACAGCTTTAGGGTGTAAGATGTTTAAAAGTGTATAAAAACACTTTCTTGCTTCTAATAAAGAAACTGATCAGCAAAAATGATGTTTCTATTTTATTGTCAACAATGAAAGTGCTATCTGGAGTCAAATGTTGTTTCTGCATAAAAAAAATCCCCATTAACTGTTAAACTAAAACTTATACATTCTTAAAGTGTAAAACACATTCTTACAACCACTGTTTGAATATAAAGCCATTATGAACTAGATTTTTCTTTTTACCAAGACAGTATTACAATTTTTTGTCCTCAAAATGTATTGACAATCCTCTTAAAGCTGTCTAAAAAAATGATTAAAATATATTAATTTTATCACATTAGCATATTCTCAAATCGATTATTTTATAAATAGACTTAAACAAAATCACATTAGCATTTTCTGGAGTGCCAAGAGTTCTGTCAGGGATTGTACAAATTGGTCAGAGAATAACAAAAAGAATTTAGTGAATAATTTTGTTTTTTTATGTTTTTACAAAACAGGATTTAAAAAAATAAAATAAAAATGATAAACTGGGGAAAAAAAGAGAGGTCAAATTAACAATCTTCAACTCTGGTAGTATAATTTACAAATTTACAAATTGACCAAACAGAACTTGAGGGAGACTTGGATATTGGCTGATCAAACTACAGAATGGGAGAATAGAGATAGAATGAGGAAAAATCATGAAAAGGGGGGCCTGGGTCCTCCAGCAGTCTAAGCCTATACCATCATAACTATAGAGCAGTGTTTCCCAACCTTTATTGACTTTGTGAATTTGATCTTACCATTAGTACCCCTTTCAGTGAAAATTATTGATGATTCTCCAAAAGTGGAACGTACAATAAATGCTTATAAAATAAAAACTATTTTACTTGTGTAAATCCCTTTATTGTCCCACAATGTAGAAATTCACTCTCTGCATTTGACCCATCCCCTTGGTGAGCAATGGGCTGCCATTCTGTTGTGCCCGCCCGAGGAGCATGGTGGGATTAGGAGTTTTGCTCAGGAACCCAGAGTAGAAGGATCAACCGGGTACTTGCACAAGCTCTAACCCGCTCTGCGAACACCTACCCTAAGTAATCTCTTAATTTTAGCATTTATTCTTAGGCATTTTATGCTCAAATAATGAAAATATTAATATGTTGCCTGAAAGCTAGCAAGGAATTGAAATAAATGAAAAATAAAATCATATTATGAACTTGTATTCATAAAACTAGAGCTACTCTGAGTAACTCTCTTATGGTCACATTTAAACTTAATAAATTGGGTACAAAGTAAAGAACAAAAAATGATAGACTGACTTACTTTGTTTTCATTAAGGAACCCTGAGCTTGCTTTGATGATCTCTGATAGATCAATGTGAAAAACAGCTGATCCCAGCTGTTCTCTACATCCAGTCTGTTCCTCTGCTTGGCTTAGATGCTTTTCACAGCTGTAGCTAAACTCAAACATATAAGAAAAAACTTCCTATTTGGTTCATAAAAGCGTTCATAAAAGCTTTTTTATTTTTTTGTCATTCCTCTCAGACTCTTACTGCGTTCCCTGTCTCATCTTAACCAGTCCGGCAGAAGACCGCCATGTTGAGCCTGGTTCTGCCAGAGGTTTCTTCTTACTGGGAGGTTCATGGACAGGTTCTCTCAACCTGTGTTATCCAACTTGACTTCCATCTTCCAGGTCCCTGGGTGAAACTCTAGTATCAGCTCACGCAATCCACTGGATCTCCCCATAAAGCTCAGCATACCATCTCACTAACCAGCAGTCTACAGACTAACCAACTTCATCTATCAGTTCATCTACTTCATCTATCCACCAGTTTCATGTCTGGGGGGGTAAACAGCCCTATTCTTTGCTCCTGTTCATGCATATCTATCAAAATTAAGCGCTATGTTTCCTGCCGAGGTCTGAGCACCAAAGACAAGGTAATTTTATCAATAAATTTCTCCTAATTGTTTTTTCTCTTTGTGTGAGTTTTTCAGATAGAAATAAGAAATAAAATATATTTATGTACCCCTTGCAATGCACTCGCGGACCACTAGTGGTACAAGTACCCCCGGATTGGGAATCACTACCATAGAGGTAGCTAAAGATCACCGATGAGGTGTGTAGGGATTCCAAGACACCTCATTATACAGCCTACAAATGTCACCTACTTTTTTCCCAATTTGAAGGACGGGTCCGATGTATCCTAGCTCTCCTTGGATATCCCAGAATTCATTGCGAGTCCAAGCTAGCCGGCTGCTCAGTGCTCAGAGGAAATGGTACTTGGCGGCGAACTGTGGTGAATATTGGAAGTTAAGTTTAATATAATCCAATTATGTGAATAGTTCCGTCTGAAATTAATGAAAATAGTTGTTTTAAATGGTTACCTAGTCAAATATGTGGACTTTGATGTTTGATTTAACTACAGCTTTTTATCTGATGCTATGCAAATTGGTTTGGCTTTAATTTAAGGACAGATTCTAATATAGCTGCTGTGTGGGGACTATTATCTGATGTGATTTTTATTTTTTTATTGCTCTTTTGCATATTTTGCTTAACTAAGTATTTTTTTTTGTTGAACATAATATACTTTGCAGCTATATTTTTTATACATACGTTTAGATTTATTTATAATTATATTAATATCTTTCTACCCCTATTATGGAATAGAATAGAAAATCTCTCACAAAATATGGACCTTAGAAAAATGTATAAGAATAACATAATAGGGAAGAGTTAAAATATAAACCATAAAATACCATACTAAAAGTGTTTAAAAACATAAAACTGTGCACCTGGAGAAAAAATAACCATGGACATTTTTTACAGTAATGGATATTTGAAAATAGCAGCATTATTTTACTGACTAAGGTTTATAGCATTACATTTCCTTTTCTTGTTCATGCTCCTGGTGGTTGACTTTATTTCAGTCTGTATTCTCATGAGTGTCTTTAAAACTTTGAAAAGTTTTGTATTCATCTTTTCCTGCTTTGTGTGTCAACTTTTACAGTTGCTAAGCGACAGAGCGTATGGCATAAAAAGCCACCGAAGGGTAGACCTGTTTGAATTCACACCCAAAACTCTTCCGGTCTCCTTTTTCAAGGACGAAGGATCAAGCCCAGATAGACCGGGTCCTTGCAAGCCAGAGCTGATAAATTCGAACACAGCCAGTGCTGCAGACAGGAGGCCTCTGATTGGTCAAATCTACATCCGCTCTACTCAGCCGTATTTCCTGTTTATTACCTTAGCAGAAAACAACTCGTGAAATTAGAGCAGCAACAAGAGCAAGGAGCGTGAGAACGCTGAGAACCTTTTTCCACCTGGATCCCCGCTCTCTTTCGCCCTCATCTACCTCCATTGTAGGACAAACTCACCCTCACATCCTCACCGCCTCGGCGGTATCTAGACCCACATCTAGTTTGTGATTGTCCCTCTTGCGTTGTGGTGCGGACCACGCTTCAAAATTGAGCATAAATCAAAAATGTCTTTGTCATACCTGCGACAAGCTCACTGCGACACACTTCTGCGTGAGTATAACCAGCCCTTAAATCATGATGGCTGACATTTTAGAGCCAACTTGCTGTAAAACAGACCGTTTGTAACATTGAGTTTCAGAAGTAAGAAAAGTTACTGGAAGTGAAATCCTCCTAAAAAGACCTTTACCTTGGTATGAGCCACGTGGGACAAAGGAACCCCGCTAGCTGTGAGCCGAAGCTGCCAACTGCTGGAGGGAACTCTGACTTTCAAAAATGGACATGGGCAGAGGTCTAAGTTTTGGCACAGTTAGGGACAGATTCTACTATGCTTTTGATGATTTTGTTCATTTCATGTGTTTTCTAATTTTGAGCTGTTTTCTTTATAAACTAAAATAAGCTTTATTTCACTACGGTTTAAAAATGTGTTTAACAAAACGTGTTATCATGTGTTTACTCACATGCTCATTACATTTTGATTATTGTATTATGACCAAAAGTTATTTAATGGAATCATGTTTATTCGCCGCTAGCTATTTCAAAGAGGGTGAAGAATAATTCAATTTAAGGTTATTGGTTCCTGATTAAAGAAATCATTTAACAAAACATTATTAGAAAATAGAAATTGAACTTTATTGATGTCACAATGGAGAAATTAACTCTGCATTTAACTCATCCCCTTGGGTAGCAGGGGGCAGGCATTGTGCAACGCCTGGGAAGTAGTGTGGGGTTAAGGGGTCTTGCTCAGGGACCTAGAGTGCTGGTTGTGGGGATCAAGAAGGGTACTTGCAACCTTCTCAGAGCACAAGTGCATTGCTGTAACCTCCAGACCAACACTCCCCCAACTAAACTAGCTAAAATAATGTTTTATTTAATTCATGGACTTGTATGTGAATTGGTTTGAAAACATTCCAATCGCTCTAATTTAGTCAAAAAAGCTCATTTGATAGCATCCCAAATTCTTCAAAATAAACTTTGGTTCTTAAACACAAAATCCATGCCAAACTATGATATGGTTTTGAACCATGTTTTCCCTTCCTCTTTGTAGACAGTAGTTGAGTTTCACTAGTTTTAGTCAAGAGTTTTTAACTGACATATATTTGACTTGGAGAAGGACTTTTGTTAATAAACTCTTAATAAACTATTTTGAACAGAAGCTGTGGTGAATTTATTCCATGTATGTACAGAATTATCAGTTTGACCATGATTTGAGCTCTATTCACGTTTTCATTTGTTATTCTAACACACTGCCAGTAGGGAGTGTGTTCATAAGCAGTATATGGCAGTCCAAACAATAACTGATTAAATAAGATATTTAACACCCATTCAGAGGTGGGCATTAAATATATTAAAGTTGCAAAACATTTATCAAAGTTTAAAGCAGGGTGTCTGCTTCACGGAGTAAAACTGGTAGTTGGTTCCACTACCAGTTGATTTGTTGCACTGTTCACAAATTCTCAAGATATCCTGTACACAGACAGACAGAGAAACACACACACACTAACTCGTCTAAAAAAGTAACCTTAAAATAAAATAAAAGGCCTAAAATAAAAGTAAACAAATGAGTAAATGCTTTTTAATAGGACTTGAACTTTTATATGATACATATTTA